TAATTTTTTATTTCTTTCCTTCTTATTTTAATTTGCTCTTCTTTTTTAGTTTCATAGGGTAGAAGCTAAGATGACTCATTTCAGATTTATAGTATTGAATACATTCAATACTATAAATTTCCCTCTTAGCACTGCTTTCACTCTATCCCACAGTTTTGATATACCATGTTTTCATTTTCACTTAGTTCAAAATATTTTTTAATTTCTCCAGAGATTTCTTTTTTGATCCATGTACTATTTAGGAGTGTATTATATAATCCCCACATATTTTGAGATTCTCCAGCTATCATTTTGTTACTGATTTCTTTTCATTCCATTGTGATTTGAGAGCAGACATTGTATGATTTATTTTTTTTTAATTTGCTAAGATGTGTTTTATGGCCCAGGATGTGGTCTGTCTTGGTGAATGCTCCATGTGAGCTTAAGAAGAATGTATGTTCTGTTGTTGGACGGAGTAGTCTACAGGTATCCATTATATCCTGTTGATTAATGATATTGTTGAGTTCAATTATGTCCTTACTGATTTTCTGCCTCATATATCTGTCCATTTATAAGAAAAGAGTGTGCATCCATCTGTTTCTCCTTGCAGTTCTCTCATTTTGGCCTCACATAGCTTGACACTATTGTTGGATGCATAAGTGTTAAGGATTGTATATCTTCTTGGAGAATTGACCCTTTTGTCATTATGTAATGCCCTTCTTTATCCCTCATAACTTTATTTATTTTGAGTCTTCTCTGTCTGAAATTAATGTAGTTACTCCCACTTCCTTTTACTAGTGTTAGAATGGTAATATCTTTCTCCATCCCTTTACTTTTCATCTATGTGTGCCTTTATAAAGTGCCTTTCTTATAGACAGCATATAATTGGGTCTTGTTTTTGATCCACTCTGATAATCTTGGTCTTCTAATTGGTGCATTTAGACCATTGATGTTCATAGTGATTATTGATACAGTTGGATTAATATCTATTATATCTGTTACTATTTTCTTTTTGTTGCTCGTTTCTGTATTTGTCATCCACTCTTTTTCTGTCCTTTACAATTTTATTCAAACATTTTATTCCATTTTCTCTCCTTCCTTAACAGTTACAGTCTCGCTTTACTTTTTTTCAGTGGTTACCCTAGAGTTTGCAATATACATATCAACTAATTCAAGTCCACTAAACTATACAGCTTCATAGGTAGTATAAATACCTTAAAATAATCCTAATTCCTCTCTCCCATCCCTTTTACCATTGCTGACATTCATTTCACTTATACATATACACACACACATATATATATACACATACATAAGCAAATATAGTTGAATACAGTGTCACTACTATTAGTTTCTGAGAAGTAAGATGTAATTCTTATCTTTGTACCTCTATCAGTATAGTGGGTTTTTTTTCCCTGTGACTTCTTTTAAGATTCCTCTCCTTCCCCCCACCTTTTTTCCTCTCATTTGAAAAGGATATTTCTACATGTAATTTTCTTGGCATTTAACCTAATTGGTGTTTCCTGAGCTTCCTAGATCTGTGGTTTGATGTCTGATGTTAATTCGTAGTCATCATTGTTTCAAATATTTCTTCCTAGATCTATGGTTTGATGTCTGATGTTAATTCTTAGTCATTATTGTTTCAAGTATTTCTTCCATCCTTTCTCTCCTTCTACATTTGGTATTCCCATTTCTTACATGTTACACCTTTTGTAGCTATCTTACCATTCTTGGATATTTTGTTTTGGGTTTCTTTTGTTTCATTCTCTTTTTTCTCTTTGCTTTTCAGTGTTAGTGGTTGCTATTGAGATATCCTTAAATTCAGAGATTCTTTTCTCAGCCATTGCCAGACTATTAATAAGCCCATCAAAGGCATTCTTCATTTCTGTTAACAGTGTTTTTGATGTCTAGTATTTCATTTTGTTTCTCTTAGAATTCCCACCTCTCTGCTTACCTTGCTCATCTGTTTTTGCATACTGTCTATCCACTTGAGCCATTAGCATGTTAATCATTGTTGTTTTATTTTTTTTTTAGAAAGAGACAAAGAGCAGGGGGGAGGGGCGGAGGGCGAGGGAGAAAGAGTCTCAAGCCGACTCCACACTGAGCACCAGCCGACTTGGGGCTTGATCTCATGATGCTGAGATCACGACCTGAGCCAAAACCAAGAGTTGGACGCTTAACTGACTGCACAACCCAGGCACCCCTCATCATTGTTGTTCTAAATTCCTGGTCTGATATTCCAACATTGCTGCTATATCTGAGTCTGTTCTCATGTTTGCCCTGTCTCTTCCAACTGTGTTTTTGCCTTTTATTATGTCTTGTAATTTTTTCCTGATAACGAGGCATGATGTACTGGGTAAAAGGAGCTGCTGTAAATAGGCTATTAGTAATGTGACGATAAGGTGTTGGGGAGGGAAAGTGTTCCTAGTCCTGTGATCAGGTCTCAAGTCTGTTAATGAGTTTGCACCTCTGGAATGTAAGCTACACAGTGCTTCTCAGTATTCTCACTTCTTCCCTTAGGTGGATAGGATGACCAGAGTGGACTGGAGTTATTTCCCTTACCCCAGGTCACTGGTCTCTGATAAAACCCTAGCAGGCTAGGCTTTGATAATTTCTCCTGAGGGCAGACTCTGTTATGAAAAACAGAATGCTCTTGTGTATTTCAAAATGGTTTGTTTTCCCTTCCTCCTGTCGGCAGCACAAGATTTTTCTCCACTATTCACTGTGAGAGCCTGGTAGAGATCCAGGAGGTAAAACTCAAAAATGTGTGGGCTCCCCCAGTAACAGGGTCCCCCAGGAGTGTTTTGGATTTTGGGGAGGGGTTTTTTGGTTTTTTGGGGTTTTTTTCTTCAGTGTACCATATTTTTTTTTTATTATGTTCAGTTAGCCACTGTATAGTATATAATTAGTCCTTGATGCAGTGTTCAACAATTCATTAGTTAAGTATAACACCCAGTGCTCATCACAGCACATGCCCTCCACAATACCCATCACCCTGTTACCCCATCCGCCCACCCTCTTCCCCTCTGAAACCCCCAGATTGTCTCGGGGTCTATAGTCTCTCATCGTTCATCTCCCTCTCTGATTTCTCTGCCTTTGGATTTCCCTCCCTTCCCCTATGCTATTGCTTGTGTTCCACATATGAGTGAAACCATATAATAATTGTCTTTCTCTGTTTGACTTACTTCACTTAACATAATCCCCTCCAGTTCCATCCATGTCGATGCAAATGGTGGGTATTCATTGTTTCTGATGGCTGAATAATATTCCATTGTGTAGATATACCACATCTTCTTTATCCATTCATCTGTTGGGCATCTTGGCTCCTTCCACAGTTTGGCTATTGTGGACATTGCTGCTATGAACATTGGGGCGCAGGTGCCCCTTTTTCTCACTACATCTCTATCTTTGGGGTAAATACCCAGTAGTGCAATTGCTGGGTCATAGGGTAGCTCTATTCTTAATGTCTTGAAGAACCTCCATACTGTTTTCTAGAGTGGCTGTACCAACTTGCATTCCTACCAACAGTGTAAGAGGGTTCCCCATTCTCCACATCCTCGCCAACATTTGTTGTTTCCTGTTAATTTTTGTCATTCTAACTGGTGTAAGGTTGGTATCTCATTGTGGTTTTGATTTGTATTTCCCTGATGGCTACTGATGTTGAGCATTTTTTCATGTGTCTGTTAGCCATTTGTATATCTTTTTTGGAGAAGTGTCTGTTCGTGTCTTCTGCCCATTTTTTGACTGGGTTATTAGTTTTTTGAGTGTTGAGTTTGAGAAGTTCTTTATAGATCTTGGATATCAGCCCTTTATCTGTAATGTCCTTTGCAAATATCTTCTCCCGTTCCGTGGGCTGCCTCTTAGTTTTGTTGACTGTTTCCTTTGCTGTGCAGAAGCTTTTTATCTTGATGAAGTCCCAGAAGTTTATTTTTGCTTTTGTTTCACTTGCCTTTGGAGACATGTCTTAAAAGAAGTTACTGTGGCCGATGTGGAAGAGGTAATTGCCTATGTTCTAGTCCTCTAGGATTTTGATGGATTCCTGTCTCACATTGAGGTCTTTCATCCATTTTGAGTTTATCTTTGTGTATGGTGTAAGGGAATGGCCCAGTTTCATTCTTCTATATGTAGCTGTCCAATTTTCCCATCACCACTTATTGAAGAGACTGTCTTTTTTTCCACTGGATATTTTTTCCTGATTTGTCAAAGTTGACCATAGATTTGAGGGTCCATTTCTCCAGGAGTGTTTTTACTGGCCCATACTGAACCTCCAGCAATTTGCCAGTTACAGTTCAGGTTTCTCTACCCCAGCACTAGTTCCCACAGAGGTTTCTGCCCTGGTAAGTTATAATTCTCTGTATTCACCTCCCATTTTCTCCAGTTTGGGGGGCAGGAGTTTGCCCTGTCATCCCCCTTATCTTAAGGATCTAAGAAGAGTTATTGAATTTTTAGTTTGTTTAGCTTTTTAGTTGTTGTTAGAACAAAGAGTGATGACTTCCAAGCTTCTTTTATGCCAAACTGGAAGCCAGAAGTCCCTTAATTTATTGATATTTTTGAGCATAATCTTTCTGAGCCTATTTTTAAGTTTTTGGTTTTCATTATTCACAATTAAACTTGAAGTAATAGAAATTTTTTTAAACTTAACCTGCAGAATGACTTATCACAAAAATTAAGTTACTGTACTTTAGATTTTGTATTATAGTCTTTTCTAGGACAGTCTTTTAAATGACCTTTCCTGGATTTCACTGTGCAAATTAGTTAATGTAAAACTACTTTTTAGTTCTGTTTTCTCAAGAGAAACCAAATGGTATAAGTTTGCTTTACTGATCTGAGTATCTATACTAGTTTTTACCTGGAAACTTGAGCTTGTCTAATTTTTTACCCGGTAAGTCTTTTCTATGAACTTACGTAAATAAGTGGATATGAATTATATACATTAACTAACCTTAAAATTGATAATTCACAAATGCAGTACTGAATGGCTCATTTCACTTAAAGTGCTTTTTACTTTCTTTATTTTGAAGCTTCTTCTCAACCTGTTGATAACCATGTTAGCCCATCTTCCTATTTGGGCCATACACCAGCATCACCAGCCAGATACTCACCTGTTTCAAAAGCAATGCTTGGAGATGATGAAATTACAAGGTGAGGAACTGAACGTTTGTCCTTCTTAAAAAAAGCCAACTGTTAGAAGGAGTTATAATCAGTTTACAACCACAGTTCTCAGGACTAAAAAATTTTACTGATAGATAATGAACTTAAACCTTAATTTTTTTCATTGGAGGGTTCATTGAAGAGGCTGAAATATAAAAATATTTTATATTCCAAATCGCTGCCCTTTTTAAAAACATAGTACTTATTTTTCAGGAATGGTTAATTGTTCTTAGAAATTAGCATAGGTAAAACTGAGTTAAGAATATACATATGTATTTTTAAAACTAACTTTTCATATATTCCTATTTGTTATAGCAATCATTTGATTCATGTTTAGAATTCAGCAAGTGATATTTTCTTTGCTTAATATGTATCTTTGATAACCTCACTCCTAAAATTTACCTTGATCTGACTTTACTGTTTTAAATAAAGTTTGTAGGGGCGCCTGGGTGGCTCAGTCGGTTAAGCGTCTGCCTTCAGCTCAGGTCATGATCCCGAGTCTGGGATTGAGCCCTGCATAGGACTCCCTGCTCAGCGGGAAGCCTGCTTCTCCCTCTCCCTCTGCCTGCTGCTCTGCCTACTTGGCCTCTCTCTCTCTCTCTCTCTCTCTGTCAAATAAATAAATAAATAAATAATCTTTAAATGAAGTTTGTAAATCTTTCTTTTTATTCCCAAAGAACTCTTAAGTAGGTGGGAAAAAATAAGTGAAAAATATTTTAGATCTTTTTCACGATTTAATATAGTAATAAGATGTTAACATTTATACAGATTGCTTTATAATTTGTACAAGTATTTCATATTATAACATTTAACATTAAATGTCTGCTGATTAATGTCTGTTTTGTGTTTTTATTAATTGCATTATTGTTGGCATTATTATTTTTGAGCTTTCAAAATTATAATTACTCTTGTCAGACTCCTGACTCTAGGAGTCTTAAAGAGATCATTAAGGTCAGGTAGGAAAGAATATTCATCTATGTCCTTTTTTTTCAAGAGTTAGCAATATTGAAAACTTAATTTATAAATATGTGCTCAGTAATTGTGTTTGGAGTGAAAATTAGAAACAGTGTTTGTGGTTATCTCTTTGTGATATGAATTTTCAAGACTGTTAGTCTTTAGGCTGTGCTCCTATACTGATCTGTCGTGGCTTTGTTGTTGTTTTCTAATAGTGCCAATTTATGGAAGTAAAGAGGAAAAATAGTTAATGGCTTATCTAGCCTTTAATTTCTACATATTTTTCAAACTAAAAAGTATGTTATATTGGTGTCTTGATTGCTGTTCCCCATCTTTTTTCATTACATATCTTTTCTCTAGAATATTGTATTGGACTTTTTTAGTATTACACAAGTCTACCTGTCTTCTCTACTTTTGTGTGAAAATCAGGTGGTTGATTACTGCATATGCCTTCCTAAAACATGTGTTTTATCACTCCCTTTTGATAATTACACAACTTTGTCCAGATATGAAATACAAAAATCTTTACCCCCACATTAGAAGTTCTCCACAATTTGACCCTAAGCAGTCTTTCAGAGGTTATCTCACGTTACCAATTTAAAAGAAGGAAAAGAAAGAGGGCGCCTGGGTGGCTCAGTTGGTTAAGCGTCTGCTTTCAGCTCAGGTCATGATCTCAGGGTCTTCCTGGGATCCAGCCCTGTGTCAGGCTCCATGCTCAGCAAGGGAGCCTGCTTCTCCCTCTCCCTTTGCCCCTATTTGTGTGCTTTCTCGCTCACTCACTCTGTCTCTCAAATAAATAAGTAAAATCTTTAAAAAACAAATAAATAAAATAATATAAAATAAAAAAGGAAAAGAAAAATCCCAACATACAGAAAATTGATGATTCTAAAGTTCATTTTTAACAGCTTTATTGAGATACGATCCACATATCGTACACTTCTCCCATTTAAAATGTAAACTCAAAATTTTATTTCTATATTACATTATTTTTTTTTTAAGGAATTTTTTTTTTAAGATTTTATTTATTTGACAGAGAGAGAGAGAGTACAAGCAGGGGGAGCGGCAGGGAGAGGGAGAAGCAGGCTCCTGCTGAGCAGAGAGCCCGACGCGGGACTCGATCCCTGGACCCTGGGATCATGACCTGAGCCAAAGGCAGATGCTTAACCGCCTGAGCCACCCAGGTGCCCCACATTATTAATTTTTTTTAAATGTGCGATTCATTGGCATTAATTGCGTTCCCAACATTAGGAAATCATCACCACTATCTATTTCCAGAACCTTTTTGCCACCTCAAACAAACTGTAGCCATTAAGCAGTAATTTCTGTTTCCCTCTCCTCCCAGTCCCTGGTAACCTCTGGTCTAGTGTACTTTGTGTCCTATACATTTGCCTATCCTAGATTGTTCATATAAGTATAATCTTACAACTCTTTTGTGTCTGACTTCTTTCGTTTAGCATAGTGTTTTCAAGATTCATCCATGTTGTAGCATGTATCAAAACTTCATTCCTGCGGTGCCTGGGTGGCTCAGTCAGTTAAGTGTCTGCCTTTGACCCAGGTTATGATCCCAGAGTCCTGGGATGGAGCCCTGCATCAGGCTCTCTGCTTAGCAGGGAGCCTGCTTCTTCCTCTACCTCTGCCTGCCGCTCCCCCTGCTTGTGTGCTCTCTGTCAAATAAATAAATAAAATCTTTAAAAAAAAAAAAAAAGTCTTCATTCCTTATGTAAGCTGAAAATATTCCATTATATGTATATACCACATTTTATTTATCCATTCATCTGTTGATGGACACTTGGGTTATTTCCACCTTTTGGGTATTGAGAATAATGCTCTGATAAACATTGGCTTGCATGTATCTGCTTGCATCCTTGTTTTCACTTCCTTTGAATACATAGGAGTGGAATTGCTGAGTCACACAGTCAATGTATGTTTACGTTTATGAGGAACCATTTGTTTTTTATAGCACCCACATCATTTTACATTCCCACCATCAATATATGAGGGTTCCAGTTTCTCCACAACCTCAACCAATACTTGTTTTTTCTCTTCCGTTTTGTTTTATAGCCATTGTAGTAAGTGGAATGTATCTCATGATTTTCATGCATTTCTCTAATGACTAATAATGTTGAACATCTTTTCATGTGCTTATGTTATTTGAAAAATCAGAATTTATTTTCCTGTGAAATACTGCTGGATTTTAGCAGAATATTTTAAATTATTATATAAAATTTATATTTATATAAAACTAATTCATATATATGTGTGGCTCTTTGCTTCATACAAATATATTTTTTTCTTTTCAAGTTTTTATTTAAATTCCAATTAGTTAGCACACAGTGTAATACTAGTTTCAGGTGTAGAATTTAGTGATTCATCACTTACATACAACACCCAGGGCTCATCACAAGTGCCATCCTTAATACCCGTCACCCATTTAAGCCATCCCCCCTCCCACCTCCTCCATATATGTTTTAAAGTCATAGAAACCCTAAACTGTGAGTCCGTCATCTAACAGTGAAATAAAATATCAATATAGTGAAACCTATTTTGTGCCCTGATCCTATCCTGCCTCTCCTACACTGCCTCACCAAGTGAACTATTTTCCTGAATTTGGATTTATTATTATTCCATTTCTTTTTATATATGTGTATATGTGTTTAATATTTTCTAAACAATTATTTGGTTTTGCTATTTTTGATAAGAAAGTATAATTTTGTTAACCCTGTAAGTGAACTGGCAAAGCTGATTAATGATGAAAACCTATGTATGACTAGAAAATGCCAGTTTAGGTTTTTAGCAAATACTTAAGATTAATTCCACATTATGTGGAAGGATCCCTAAAATTCATTTTTTAAAAATATTTACCTCTAGGGGTGCCTGGGTGGCTCAGATGGTTAAGCGTCTGCCTTCGGCTCAGGTCATGATCCAAAAGTCCTGGGATTGAGCCCCGTCCACATTGGTCTCCCTGCTCAGCGGGGAGTCTGCTTTTCCCTATCCCCTCCGCTCCCCCTGCTTGTGCACGCGTGTGCGTGTGCTCTCTCTCTCTTTCTCTCTCTCTAATAAATAAAATCTTTAAAAAAAATTACTTCTGTTAAGCCTTTTGTTACCAATAGCTTTTTGAAATGTTCTAGAAAAATCCAGTTAAATTTTTAAAAAATATTTACCAAATATGATACATTCTAATATTCTGTATCTCATCATACCTGCTGCTGGAATTTTCATGGTCTTACTATAAATGCTATTCACACAACCATTTATAACTGGCAGCAAATGGGAAACACTAGTAGTGGTAAGATGTATTCTGATTTCAGAGATTTTAAAAAATAGGGGATGGGGGAGAAGGCTCATCTTAGAATGGGTGAACAGCAGAGAGAGAGAGAGATGGAAGTATGTGACAAGTAAAAAATAATTATATAAAAAGTTTAGAGATGGGCAGTTCCAGCAATTATGTAGCAACCCTTAGGTCCATGGTGTCTCTGGGATTCTTCTGGTCTTACCTTCATGGTTAGAATATGTCAAAATCAGTAATGGGATTTTATTGTTCATTTTTTGTGTGGGGATGATTTTGGGTGGGGAAGGGAACAAAATGTGCTTTGTTTTTGTTACGGTCTATCTTTCCTTGGGAAATGACAATAAAATTTACTTTTATTTCTCAGAGGCCAAAATAGGGTCTTAGCCTCAACTTAGCAAAGAGGAATGAGATTGCTATGACTGACTTAGGTTAGTCATGATTCATCCTTTTGAGACTGGAAAAAGGGCCTGCCTTTTCTAAGACAAAGGTTTATCTGCCTTTACAACATCTAGGAAGTAAGGGCAGTGACTGCTTCATAGGTAATAAGATGTGTACAACATCAGCTTTTCATAAGGGTATATATTTATTGAGTAGGTTATGTCATTATTTTTTTTAATTACCACAATTTTTTCTCCTTTTTGTTTTAGTTTCATGTTTGTTTTTTAACAAAAATCATTGGTTTTTAACATGGATTTTTAGCTTTTATTTAAAATTAGAATTTTTCCTTTTAATTTCTAAGCCTCTTAGAATCTCTCTACTCTGCCTTGAAAACCTTTTTAATTTTCATCTAGTTTTCTTTATAGTTTGATAATATAAGAGTTATCAGTAGAGCATTCTCACTGATACAATGTCAAGTTCTATATAAAATTTCTAAGGTGTTCAATATTTTTCTAATTTTTTAGGGAACCTAGAAAAGTTGTTCTTCATCGTGGCTCAACAGGCCTGGGTTTCAACATTGTAGGAGGTGAAGATGGAGAAGGAATATTTATTTCCTTTATCTTGGCTGGAGGACCTGCTGATCTTAGTGGAGAGCTCAGAAAAGGAGATCGTATTATATCGGTAGGATATGTTAATCAAATTATGTTTTTATTATTATAACTATGACCTGACCTATTATTAAAAGTTTTGTTTTTACATACTAAAGTTATGGGAGATATTTTGGTTATTTTCTTACCATTTTGCAACTTAATTGTAGGATTTTAGTGTTGTCAGAGAAGATGTTCTATAGGATAGATTTTCTTTTGATATTTGACTTAACCTGTAAGCGGGTCAGTCTTTATAAATGTGCTCGAAGAAAGTATGTATTCTCTATTTGTTGACTGCGAGGTTATCTGTATGTTTACTAACCTTGTTATTTGTGTAGTGGAGATCTTTATACTTTAACCTGTTGTCTGTTTGATGTATTATTAAAAAAAAATTTTTAAGCTTCTGAATGTGATGGTGGGTTTAGCAGTTTGTCCTTGCAGTGGTATTTAATTTTTATATCTTTGAAACTATGTTATTAGGTGCATCTAAGTTTAGAATCATTATTCCTTCCTGGTGAGTTGAAATTTTTTATCATTATGTAATAATCCTCTTTATAATAATGGTTTTTACCGTAGAAGCTGTGTTGCCTGATATTCATATGGCTCTTTTTGGCTTGATATTTGCTTCATCAAATTATCTTTATTTCACCCTCACTTGTAAATATAATTCAGTCTAAAGTGCTAGGTTGACAGCTGTTGTCTGTCAGTACTTTGAAGATAACTGTTTTATGCTATCTGGCTTCTTCCGTTGCTATTTACAAAGAAGATCTGCACCGTATCTTGTTTGCAAGTGATTTGGTTTGTTTTTCTTTTTTTTTCACTGACTGCTTTTTAAAGTCTCTTACTTATTTTGGTATACTACAGTTTAACTAAAATGTGTTTATATCTAGCATTTTATTTATTCTTTTTGGGATTCATTCTGCTTCCTGGATCAGAGGAGTCCTGTCTTTAATCAATTCTGGAATCTCAGCCAGTATTTTTTCAAATTTTGCCTTTCCCACATTGTGTGGATTCTGTCCTCCTTCAGTTCCTTTGAGAGGATATTATCTTTCTGTTCTGCATGTCTTTTAACCCCAATTTCATATTTATCAGCTCTCTCTCCTTGTACTTAATTTCAGTCCTATCTGTTTTCTAGTTCATAAATTTTCTTCATCTCTTTAAGTGAAAACTAATTTTTTAATTTCAGAGTACCCTTTGCTTTCTAGAAATTCTTTCTGGTTTTTTTTTTTTTTCCAGTCTGTCTTGGTGGTTTTTGTGGATTCTTTGTTATTTATAGTTTCTAATATTCTTTTAGATTTTTTTCCTTTAACTATTTTAAGTGCTATAAGTAATAGTTCTATTTTTTGAAGCTTATAGGTAACTAATGCATGTGACCTGTGATAAATTGTTTTATTCTAAATTTTACATTGTGAGTTTGTTTTCAGTAGTACTTGATATAGTGATGGGAGAAAGAGAAAGAATAGATGGGGATGGTGGAAACCAGCCAAAACTTTACCTAACATGTAATGGCATCACTGGACTAGAAAAACTAATAAAAATTCTAGGAAGCCACAGAGCAAGTCTTAACACCTGTCAGCTCTTTCCCATTGGTCTTGACTGAGTGCTCAGATGCAATAAACCAAAGTTTGGGAACCAACAGAAGAGAACTGAGAAAAAAATCATTCCTGAATCATACAAGGTACCTGCTCTATAAAAATAGGGGACCTTGGGCAGAAGATCTGTAAAAACCAGCCCTGGGAACTCTGTACTTGAGCTGTTAAGATAAAAGGGTTGGGGGGGAGATAAGAGAGTTCAGAAAAAGCCCTCTGAGACTGTGTGGACAGAGTGATATCTCCAAGACACAGCAAGCCTGGGACAGATCTTGAGAACAAAGAGAACTTAAAACTGGCAACCTGGATAAATATAAAATACACATTTTTTTAATTTTTAAAAAAATAATTGTACATATTTGGTAAGACTATTAGCTATTTAAAACAAAAATAATTGCATTATATACTAGGGGTTATTGACATATAGAAGTAAAATAAAAGGGCACTAGAGCACAAATTGACAGGGAAAATGGAATTATACTAGTGTTTCTCATAGTTTGTGAAGTGATATAAAATTATTTGAAAGTGGACTGTGAGATCTTAGGGCGCCTGGGTGGCTTAGTCGTTAAGCGT